CCAACTGTGCCACCTTGCAGCCCTTTGGGAAGCATTGTAAATGTAATTTTAAACAATGTTCACTTGACCAGTATCACCCTATCAGCCAACCCTAGAGCCAAACGAATGAATGAAAAGTTTCACATTTACTGTTAAAGTCCAAACTCTAACTCTGCAGTCAGACACGCACTGCAAACATTGAGTCAAAGTCTGGGTAATCATTTTCAATTTGAAGGAAAATGCAGCTCCAGTTAAACATTTTTACTTGAACTTTGCATTTTTAAATTCAGTTTTCTCAACATAAGTCATCTGCAGGCATGTCACATAGGACAGACAAGGCTTTACAGTGTTATGATGCAGAGGGAAACCCAACAATTCCTTTTAACTCTTGGCAACAGTGGGGAGAAAAAAAAACATGAAAAAACCTACAGCAGAACCAGATTCAGGGAGGGCAGCCATCTGCCTTGACTGGTTGAGGTGAGTGTGTTGCGGAAAGACAGAAAGCAAATGGGACCAAACACTGGTTGGTCGCTGGAGACAGAAACACCTGCAGATATACAGGGAGAGAGAGGACACATGATAAATATCTGCATATAAGGTGAAGAACTGTGCTGCAAAGGGTCTGTAAGCAGTAGTTAAAGGTGGGGTCGGTGATCCTGGGGAAAGATTTTGGATATTTAGACAGTTAGCATGTGTCATATTCACTGTCCCTCCTGTCGTCCCCTGTCATGCACTCAATCAAAGCTCTAATCAGGAGAAGATATTCACAGACTTGTACCAAAAAGGGTGTTGGATTGCAATCACATGCTCCCCCTTTAGCTGCACCGTGATCTGTGGCATGTCCAAAGAAACTACAGCATGAATGGAATTGTTCTGAAAGCAATTCAACGGAAAACTGTTGTCTCTGCTAACGAAGCTCGTGTTATTTCTGTCTTCTTAAAGGCTTTCAGCTGAATTTATAAATGAAACCGAATTGTAAGGCAGCACAGTTTGACTTGACTGTCTGTATTATTTCTGTACATGAAAGAGCAAAGAAACAGGGTGGAAGTGAAAGACAAAGAGACAAAGCAGAGAGAGATGCCTCACTGCAGAGGGAGAAAGACCTTTTTTTTTTTGCCACAGTTCCCCTGTTTCTTCATGTCTGACATTTCAGTTTCACCTTGTGCCCGTCCTTATCTCACTTGCTATCCCCTCTCCTTCTCTCTCCCCTTTTCTTCCTTGTCCTCCTTTAGTGAGAACTCGGAGATCTGTCCTGACGACAAGCAGAGGAACAAAGCCAAGTCTGACGAGGTATAGAACATTTGTGCTCTGCGGTCTCCTGCATACTGCAACGCTATTGAATTAAAGCAACTTTTTTTTTTAAAGCTTAAGAAGTTTTAAAAGGCAAACTAGGTCTTAAAACCCATGAGTGAACATTACATACCTTTAGCGAACGGTTCAGGTTGCTCTGGTTCCCACGTCTATCAGTATTCTGTATTGTCCTTTGTCCTGACTGTTGCCATGGTTTCCCTGTTGCCAGGAAAACTGCCAGGTGTTTTACATCCACAACCTGCCCAGCAGCGTGACCCAGAACATGCTGAGGAAACGCTTCCAGGTTTTCGGCAAAGCAGAGGACTGCAAAGTCATCATCTGCAACGAGTAAGTGTCCTGATCTAGATTCTTGTTCCGAAGGGAGGAGATACGGGAACTTTTGTGACCATACAGCAAACCACCGTATATAGACGATTTAAAAAGCAGCCCTGATAAACATGTGGAACAATTGTGGTCAGTCTGGAAACATTACTGATGTGGAATAAGTCCAACCAAAGATAATTGGTAAAAGAAGAAAAAAAGGGGGGGAGTATTTGTTGGACTTGTCAGAGGAGTCGTGCAGCTCATCTGTTTGCCAATCTCTGTCTTATACCACCTCTAATTCTTTCTCCATACTCTCAACACATTTCTGACACAGACATATTTCCTTGCTTTGAGCTCTGCAAACTTTATACTAAATTATAGATACCCACTAAGTGCTAACCAGTGAGACACCTGGCACGCACAGCAGTCCCCAGTTCAGACGTCACCCTTTCTTTTAAAGTTATCCTTCTTCTTTTCTTTTTGATTTTTTCCAGGATCTCCAGTCCCATACACACCAAAAATGAAAAACAACTACGAGTTACTCCTCTCACATCATTGTCCTCGACCACAGCACTGGAGTTGGTCCCTGGGCTTTGCCTTGTTGCCGGTCACTGTTCCTAAATAGTCAGAATGGGCCGATTACAAAAGATAAATTTCCCCATGGGGACTAATTAAACATGACTTTCAAAAGTTGAATTTATCAAGGCTGCTCCCTTTTGTAGCGGACCAATCCCAAAGTTTAGAATGTGATGTGGACTCTAATGTTTTTATTTCATCTATTCCACAGCTAGTTATGTGACAGATAACTACTACTGCTGATGACCTAATGCATGTGGATGTGTCTCTACCTGTGGTTGCAGGGAGCGCTGTGGTGTGATAAAGATTCGTCAGGCGGGGGTTCAAAGGCACTGGAGAGAACGAGAGACTGTTTTCCAGAATGGACCTGCAGGCATAAGGAGGGTGACAAGGAAACGCTACATAGACTTAGGTAATGGAACAATTTTCACAGCCTGTAGATAACGTTTCTCCTGTTGTTCCTGTTGTCAGTTTCCTTTAAGCCGCATCCTGCATCTTGCAATAAACCCAAACAGGTGTGTGTGTGTGTGTGTGTGTGTGTGTGTGTGTGTGTGTGTGTGTGTGTGTGTGTGTGTGTAAACATCTCTCACAAGCGCAATATCGCAAGACATGGTGGAAAAATGCTGCACCAGCAGAGGTTTCAAAATAACATACTGAATGAAAATCTGTTTGAAGTTTTCAGTCACACGGTGGAGTTATTCCAGCAGTGGTGCAGCTTTATTAAAAGTGCTGGAAGCTTGGTGATGCAGTGAGTGGTTGATAGTAGCGAGTTCTGACTGTATTTGTCAGATAGTTGTTTTAGGAATGGTGATAATTAGCATGTCAAAATTCACCAAAGGTAAAGGCATAGCTCGATGTCTGTGAGTCACACTTGGTCTCGTCCACTGTGTCAACAAGACCGCCTTTCAACTTGAGTTTGATTTTGGGAAAGAGGAACATCACATCTAGCAACTTACCGAATAAAGAGTGATGGTTGTGTTGGTATGACCAGAAAACATTTGTGTTTGGAGCACAGCGACACAGTTCAGGTGCTTTGTGTCAAATGTTACAGTCGACTTCGCAGTAACCGTCTGACCCTGAGGAAAAAATTCACATTGCACATCTCTGTGAATGTCAAAGAAAATAAAAAAGCATCATGCTCTTGGTGTGCTCCTGACCGGAAGTGCTTTCTCCAGATTTGGAGAATATTTCCACTGTAGAAACTGCTGTTTCTTCTGTGGGCTGTAGCTGCACCTCCCTTCACCAGTGATGATTCTCAACACAGATAGTGGTAGAGGCCGGTGTTACAGATTTTATGTTGTTGAGGGTCCATGTGACAGAAGTTCTTGTCATCCCCCTCAAGTCCAAAGAGTCTACGCACATTCGTGTACAGCCCAAAGTTTGTGTCCACACATGCAACATGCAGGCGATATATAACCATGTATGTAATTGTCTTGGAAGAAAATTTGAAAATTAGTACAACAGCAACAAGTATACATCTGTGGGTGTCCACAGCTGGTCATGTTCAGGTCTGCAGGATTTGATACAAAATGTGATGCTTCCTTATCGGTCCCAGTTCGAGGTCCATGGTAAAATAGCAAATGCTCACCTGGCATTGGTCACAAATGCTTGTATCAGCAGTCCCCATGTCCCCATGTGGAGTCCTGACTCTCAACAGTTACTGTCCGCACATGTTGCACACACACATGACAGTGACCGTTTGTGTGCAACAGACACAGTCTCACAACTTTTTGATCGTACAAGGACACGTTTGATTTTCATCTTGACTTGCATTTCTTTGCTCTTACTAACAGCCTTGTCTTTCTGTGCTTCAGATGAGGCAGGTCCGGGCCCTGTGAAGAGCAAGTACGATGCACTGGACTTTGACACTCTGCTGAAGGAGGCCCAGAAGTCCCTGCACCGCTGACAGTACAGCGCCACTGACTGGCCAGCCTTAGTAAACTGCAGCAACACCCCTCCGACAACACAGCTCTGCCCTCAGACAGGCGTCTCAGTACCTCCACGCAAGGCAACCTCGCAAAATGTTTACATTTTTACCATTGGGATAAAGTAACAATAAGGACCTTGTTTTTTAAGTTTCTTTCACCGGAGGATACTGCTTAAAAACGAGGAAGCCACTGGGAGTCTGGAGGGGTTAAGAGACAACGGAGGAAATAGGACTTTAAACAGCAATGGTACAACAATTACAAACAATATTGATACAGTTCTCCACTGAACAACAGTAACAACAAAGCTGCTTCCCGTCTGTGTTGGTGACTTCATCGCCCTGCCTTGGACGAGCGGGCGTGAGAGACCTGTAGCAATTCCTTGCTATCCCTGCGTTGCGTTGGTCGTCGTGGTGTGTGTTCCTGCGTGTGCGTGTTCTTTGTTCTGTTTTGTATAAAAAAAAAAGAAAAATCTCCCTCTTTCCAGTCACGAGTGGTGAACCTGCAAGCTGTGTTCACTTGTGTGGTTGTATAACCAGAAAAAAAAAAGAACCCTGCTTTGTTTTAGCGAAATTGTGGATGTTATAAATTTTAAAAATCTATTGTGTGTGTGTTATGGACAAAGAATATAACAGAAACCATTTAACGTAATCATTTGATGACTGATAAAGTTTACAAATCTAAAATGAAGAAAAAAATCATGTTTTTTTCTTTTTTGTAATTGTAGTGCTTCCTTGATTTGATCTATGCACTGTAAGGAGGTAAATGTCTCTGCTGTCCTCCACTTCCCCCCTTTTATCTATAACTCTGCCATGCTGACTATTCTGGCTTCTGCTACTGGCTGCTGCAGGTTCTGTTTGAGAGGTGCTTCATACATCAAGACCTCATCTCAGATGTGGGGAAAATGACATAGTTTTAAACGTGTGTTTACAACCTATTCAAACTAAGGCAGAAACAGTTACTGGAAAAGTACTTACCTCAAACGTTGCACGTATGAATTAGCTTCAGTTGAGTTTAATGTTTCTTGTACCGTTGACATCCAACTTCATGTTACGTGCCTGAAATGGGTCAAAACGAAGTTTTAAGTGCAACTAAATTTTAAAAAGTGGCTTGAAAATATTTACTGTCTGGACTTGTGGAAATTTGAGGATTCAGGTTTGTCTTCAAAATAAAAGTTAATGCTGGTTTAAAACAGGGGTTAACGTCAGGATTGGGCTGAGATAAAGTCGGGCTTACAGTTAAACTATCCAGACATGGAGGAGTACCAAAGCTAATGGCTGAACACTAGCAACACCACCATCATAGTTTACCATGGCTTTGACATTTTCTTTCTTTGTTAAGTAATGGTCAAGTGTTACTCACCCAGACATGCTGACAAGTTCTTCAGTGGCGAGTGTCAAATTTATTCATGGATTTCCAGAATCAGAGCCGGTGACAAATAAGAACATTTTTCCCACATCTAGATAGTCTTCATGTATCTTTGATAAGGTCCCACTGAACATGCGTCCAACAAAGGCTGCAGCCTCAAGACCCCCTCCACCCCCCGAATGCCACAGCCAATGCAACAGTTACTGTTTACATTTGGACTGCAGCAAGCAGGGCAAAATGGGGAAATAAAGATGGTAGCCACTGGCGCTTTTATATCATACTCTGTATGAATTCATCACTTCCGCACTTTTTTCAGACCGTTCCAGTTCAATTATCTTTCACAGTAAGTTCATCTGTACATTAATTCAGCTATTTTGATCGTCTGCGAATCGTTCTTCTTCATGACATTGAGGCTCAGTGTAAGGTTGAGCGTGACACCAGGGGCTGAAAGTACAGGAGACAACAAAACCAGTTTTCTTCCCTATAATCCACTCACGGCCATAGAAGTAGGAGAATTTGTTGGTTCAAATGGAATGTATTCAAGAATCTGAATGTAATCATCATGTTTTCCCCATTCCTGCTTGCCCAAAGATTGTGGAGCCTTTTGGTGCTTTAAAGGTAGACTTGCTTAGTCATCTGGGTGACTGCATGAGAGTGGTTCTGGCTTAAAGGGCAGTCTGGGTGGCGCCTAATTTACATTCCTGATGCAGCCAGTAGCAACAAGCCATGAAAAGGGAGAGAGCCTCCAAGCCTGCCAATCTGGTGGCACCAAACTGCCACCAATAACACAGCCAGGGAACAAGCAAGGGATCGGCCGAAACGTAACGAACAGAGCAATCAGTCGAGAATTAGATTTCTCGTCTGGGAGGTACTGTATCAGATGAGCATCTCTACCTCACATCCATCCGTCCCTGCTCTCCCTGTCTTTTTAGTTCCGTGTTCTACTGGATGCTCTCCCCCTCCCTCCTCTTTTATAAGTCTCTCACTCTGTTTTTTGTTTGTCGTCGGAAATGTTCTCTACGTGAGGGTTTTCTCAACAGTTATGGGTAGTACGGGGGTTTGTCTTTCCTTCGCTTGCCTCATACCGGTTTCTAGCGTGTCCGTTACTTGGAGTCTCGACCGTGTGTCCTCGTGTACCTGAATGTTTTGTCTTTGTCTCGTGTTTGAGTTGGATGCTGACAGCGAGGGGTTGAACAGCGGTTTGGCGGTTGGCTGGTCCTCGAGTGCGCTTTGTGGGGTGGGGGGGGTAAAAGATTCTCGATCTTCCCCTCCACCCCTGCACTTGTTTTCACGTTTTCTTTCGGGACGTGCCAATCCCCCTGATTTCCCTGCTCTTCCTCTCCTTTAACGCAGTCCGACTCGTTCTCTATCTCTAACTTTAACTCTCTTCTGTCTCTTTGTGGGTTCAAGGCCTTGTTTCCAGGTCTTCCCCAAACCCTGATACTAAGGTCCCCCCCCGCTTTTTGTCAGATAATCCCTCCTTCCTCTTCCCCTTTCCTTTTCCTTGTCCTTTCTCTATCTAATCAACTCCTTGGTAACACACACAAAAAATTGAATGTTTACATCACTTGATTCTCCTTTGACTTTATTAGGAACGCACACTAAGTACAAAGGCGCCTTATTCAGTGTTTAAAAACGAAAATAACAGCAAGCGAAGTGGCCTGGAAGGGACGCACCTTCTGCAGGCTTACCGATGTCCAAAACTAACAAAAACAATTTAGTGCTATACATACTGATTGAGAAAACAAGGTGTCGACTTAAAAAAAAAAAAAAAAAAAAAAAAATTGAAGCTAATCACGAACAACTGAATGAGTATTTGTGCTTAGTATGTATACTACTAAAAAGTGAGAGAATGTGCTGGTTTACATATTAAAAAAGAAGATATAATATATGAATATATAATGTGTATATAGCACTATGCCTCATTGTAAACATAAAATGTATTGTGTGTTTTTTTTTTTTTTTTTTTTTTTTTTGTTTTTTAAAAGGTGGCGGGTCACAGTTAATCAGACAGGAGGAGGTGGTCAGGTCGGTTTTGTTCCAATGAGTTCATGTTGTTTGTTCAGTACAGGGAGGAAATGAAGGGAAATAATGAAATAACTTCACACCAAGTCCAAAACTGTTATAAAAGAAAGACAAAAAAATATCCCTTTAGACTATCACACTAGAAGGTTCTGTTTTTCTTTGCTGTTTATAAAATGACTAATCTTGATTTTTTTTTTTCCTTGTTTTCTTAAAAAGCAATTTGAGATGCAATACGTAATAATCTTATCATTAAGACAGCCTTTCCGAGAAACTGAGGTAATAATGTACAGCGTGTGGTTGGTTGTTGAGCTATAACATGGGCAATCTTTGAGCTGCGGATTCAATAGGCTACTGTACTATATGTAGACTGCTGTTAAAACAAAAACAAAAAGTTATTTAAAAGAAAAAAAAAAAAGAGATCAGGAAGAATGTGGTCAGTCGTAAACACGTATACAAAACAAGTTGTACTAATATAATCTTGCACAAATAACGTCCCAAGTAGTGAAATATCTTCACAATATTTTCTCCTCATTGAAAGCTGATGTAACTAAGTTATAACCACATGCTGATGGTGCACGGGCAGGTCTGCTCAAACTGAAGTTGCTTTCGACACTTGTGTTACAGGAACAGCCAATGACTATACAGGTATGACTCTGGTACAGGAATGTGGGACGGAGGAAAGGAAAGGGGAGCAAAAGACAGTCGTCGCTGGTTGGACCCCGTTAAATCTTTTCAGACTAGTTGATACAGTTGAGGTCGACACTGTAGAAATCACAGTTTCACTGCTGCGTCTTCCCCAAAAAGTAAAAAAAAAAAGATGTGAAGGAGAGGTGAAATTAGTTTTCAAATCAGTGTGCACAGTTTTCCAATTTAGTTTTATCTCACTGATGACCAAAATGTGACGCCTTTAGTTTCTCACCGGTTGCTATTCGGCCTGTTTGTTATCTGGTTTGTGAAGGAGGATCATAAACTGTTTCTGCATGGTTGTTTGAGGAAACCTTGAGGCTGCAGTATGTGCTGGGATTTCTACAGTGGCTGCCGCTGAGCCTGTGAGGGTACCCCCATTGTTCTAGAGGTGAATGACATCCAAACTACCCCATTTTTCATCATGGCAAGCCTTAAAAATCAACTGGGGGGAAAACGAAGCTACCACTAGCTTTTATTATTACCGTTTAAACTCCTTTCCAATCCAACGTGGTTTATTATTAAATAATTACTGACGTAATTAAAACTTTTTTCAATAGCCATATTATAAAAAGGTATATACATATATATGAATATATATTTGTGTGTTTGTGTAGATATCTAGATGATTATATACTTTCTTATAGAAAACTTTGATGTTGATCATTCTCCTCAGTGTTTTGAGAACACGTTGACACATTTCAGCATAATAATACCGCTGTCCGCTTGGTCTAGGTCCTAGATCGACGGGCAGTGAATCCAAATAAAAAATTTAAAAAACTTAAAAAAAAAAAAAAAAAAAAAAACTTCCAAAGGGAATTACCCTCGTCAGAATGCAATACCTTGCTTTCCACTCTTCATTTCAGAAAAATGGAAAGAAAACCATTAAACTTGATAGGCAAGTTGACCAAAAAAAACAAAAAAATAGAAAGTTCTACAATAAAGAGCGCGGCTCGTGGAAAAATACGATGTTTTCAGCGACCTCGTCAGATTCAGTTTTATAGATGTCATGTTTCCAATGCCATGGCCCACTAAAAACACTGCTTTGTTTTTATGTCACTGTTTCTTCAGTTCAGAAAACAATGTATCTGTCAGCTAACTACACCATGAAATGAACCCCTACCAGGAGAGGAGCGCTCGCAATACCGGCCTGTTTCTGGCCTCCAACGTCCGTGTTTCGATCTGTAAGCGGCTGTGTCACACTTCAACATCCACAGTTTGTACAATAAACAGAAACTAATCTGTTAAACCTGATGGCAACAGTGATGTCAAATAGGCACTTAGTAGGGACTGTAATCTGTCAAAATCTGCTAAATGCAAGTGGGTGTTTTGTTTTTTTGGTGGAAGAATATGTTTTGACATAAAGGGCATACATTGTTTTTGATGTTTTTCATTACTATTGATTTCATTGTCTATTTACATCTAATGACTATCAAATTCACATAAATGATTTTTTCTTTTTTTTCTTTTTTTAACTTAGTTTTTGGTAAAAACAAACAAAAAAAAGGTAAATACTGCTAGTGAGATTTTATATTTTTACATATGTTGGTTTTATTTTGCGTTTCTTCTTTTTTTATTTATACGCCACTTAGTTTGGATGTCTTTAAATGGTGTTTTTTGTTTTTTTTTCTTTCTTTTTTTTTCTTTGTTTTGTGTGATTTCATATGTCTTGAGAATGTGGAGACAAAAGGCATTTCAGTATTTTTGAATTGTTAAAATCTAGTTTCATAGAAGCGGAAGTATCTGATGTTATAAATTATATTTTAATTCATGTAAATAGTTTAAAACAGAAGACTATGGCTTCCTTTTAAACTGAATACATTTCTCTTCAGAGATTGTTTACATTATGAAACTGTAGAGATGTGCTCCTCATATACTGTATAAAGTACATATATTCATTGATTTGCCTCCAAAAAATAAAACCCTAATGAACAAAATCTTTCCACGTGTGGTGGTTTTTGTTGTGTCAGCTCCACTCACTGCTGACTCTGTTTAGGGGCCTTAACTTTCAAACATCAAAAAGCTTACAACATCCATCCATCCAT